CGTTTTTGGTCCCATTCCCCACTCCACCCCCACAGAATGTCTCTGGTCTATGGTTGTTCATTATTTTTGTTATTTTCTCGCCTGGGACGACCCACATTTTTATTTCTTGCATAGTATGTCTTGCTCCTTTGAAACCTGGGGGACGTACCTTGTGATGACCACTTCTGTGACAAAACACTTACCACTGTGTTCTGTAGACTCTGGGATGTTTATGGTAAAAGATTCGAAAGTACTTCTAACTCACTTTGCTCTTTCTAGGGTCTTCTGATTCTCAAACTAAGGTTTTTCCTCAAGACAAAGTGATACCTGTAGGCTCGGATATAACATTTTGTTGTGTGACTCAAGAAAAAGTGTTATTAGCACAGATTGGCCAAACAAATTGTCCCCTTATTCATCTTGATGGGGAGAATGTTGCAATCAAGATCCATAATATTTCTGTTTCTGCAAGTAGTGGAACAAATGTGGTTTTCACAACAGATGATAACATGTTTGGAACTGTTATTTTTGCAGGATGTAAGTATATAATACTTATTCATTTATTACTTATTCATTCATGTATTTCTGATCAAGTTGATTTTCAACATTGTATATAATCTAAGGGAAGAGCTTCATCTCTTCAGATGTGTGTTACCACACCCCACCCACCAACTAGGCACCCATAGATTTACAATACTTAGAGTTTCTCTTTAATTTGTTTTCTTTGAACACCTTAATACTTTAGTGGAAGCAGGGAAGGTACCAGAAATTTTGCTTATTTTAAGATGATCTAGATTTGTTTCCTGCATACCTTTCTATATTGAAATTGCAGGTTTTGTAAAAAAAAAAAAAATCTGACACTTTGAACTGCTAATTTTTAGTTCACATTCTTAACTAACAGCTTTATTAAAACAAGATTAGTTAGAGTATAATGCTTCTCAGTCCTGCATTATATAGAAATTACTTCCTATAAATTAGTTTCTCAACTTCTTCAGGCATACTTTTTTAAGTACCTGAGTTAAAGAAACTAACGATTTTGCAAAAGCCTTTCAATAGCATGTATTTACTTTCCCAACTTTTCCAGTAACATTTTTGATATCATCACCTCTCAATGTGTCCATTACATTGATGCTCTCAATTTGGCAGGAGCATCTTCATTAGCATGATCGCGCCTTTGGCCCTAAAATTTCATGGTATTTCCAAAAGTTGTTGTGATGGACTGCTCTACCTATGTGGCTTATGTTGACAGTCCACAAATGATTTTGTATCATTTGTGGGCCTTTATCTCTTCCCCTGTAGTATGGTGGATCCAAGAGTTTTGTTTCCCCACATTCTGAACGGAAGGCCCTGAGTTTGGGCTCAGTGTCTCCTGAATGAAGTGTTTTGTGATTTTACTCTCAATCGCTCAGTTCTTTTCCTTGTGCTTGTTGATGGTTCTCAGCTTTGCTCTGGACCAGCTGCTCTCCACCTGCTCTCCCCAGCTTCTTTACTCCCTCTGATGAATCACATTCTGTTGCTGATTTGCTTCCCAGGGACTAGTCGGATTAGGTGCATCTCAAGCTTGAAAGCTGTGACCTTCCTGTTTCTGCCTTCCCAGGAAAGCATTTTATAATTCAAGGGAGGGAGTGTGAGGCTATCTTCAAATTTAAATCTGACAATTTAAGAAAATTCTCTTTCCTCGTGGAATTATAAGAAATCAAACCTACACCATTCCTTACAAGTGGTCCCACAGACTAAACTGAGAACATGGCGGTAGAGGTAGTGAAGCAGTTCAGTAAGTGATACCAAAAGGCAGCTCTCCACTTAAAAGTATGAAAGAAAAGATAGAGATTAAGAGAAAAGAATATTCACTGAGTTTACTGTTTCCACCAGTGGGCTAATCTATTACCATAATAATGGAACAAATTAAATTAACTCAATTTCACTTTCGTTTATAACATTTGGAGGTTGAACTATTGTTCGGTATTTGTCAAAAGAAGCAGTAACCTTTCCGAGGGAGTTCTTTAAAGCGTTATTATAATAGAGATAGGGACTGAGCTTCATTTATTTTCTTTCCCTTGTGGAGATTCTACTAAGCCATTTCTTGAAAAGATTAGAGAGAATTTTAGAATCAGCTTGTCAGTTTCCTCTTACACACATATGTACACAATCATAACCTGACAGAATTAGGATTTGGATTACAGTAAATCTGTCAATTTAGGAGATCAATCTAGGAGATTTTGATTCTAACAAAATTTAGACAAATTCTAACAAAATTTAGACAAGAATGTGGTATATGGTCCTCCATTTATTTAAATCTTCTTTGATTTATCTTCATGATATGAGTTCTTACATATCTTTGATTGATGTATTCCTGGGTTTCTGGTGTCATTTTAGTACTACTAAAAATGACTTTTTATTACTAAAAATGACTTTTTTATAAGTTGCATTTTTCTATTTACTGCTGTATTGAAAAAAAAGTTGGTTTACACCTAGCTTTCACATAGTGTAAGTTGATTCTTTTGTAAAGCAATTTCTTTGAAAAGAAAATCAGTACATTTTAAATATTGCTTTCTTATACTTTTCTCCTTCAGTCTTCACTTTAGACTTGTTTCTGTTATTTAACATATATTTAAATATACAGCATACTATATCTGATAGTCAACATTTTAAAAATATTCAAAATTTTGGTATTTAATTTTAATAAAATGACGAAGTTTAACCTTATATTTAGAACAACTTTCAAAATAAATAATTGTCCACCTTAGTTCTATTGATTTGTTCAGGTTTTTGTTGGGGAAGTTTCCAAATGAAATTCATTTATATACTAATCTATTATTTCTAACATAATATGAACTCCAAATAACATACTACAGGAAGAATCGTAATTCCTGCATAGTTTAAAGAATGAAATGTACAGTAAACTTTTATTTTTAAAGGGTATGGGACAAAATATAACTAACATTTATGAAGCGTAAGCTTTTCAAGGAAAACACAAAACCACAAGTAACTACATTTTGTTTTCCTATTAGATCCACCTGATATTCCTCAAAAACTAAACTGTGAGACATATGACTTAAAAGAGGTCATATGTACCTGGAATCCAGGAAGAGCCACGGCACTGGTGGGCCCTCGAAATACCAGCTACACGTTATTTGAAAGGTAAAGGTCACTGGTGGATGTTAAATGACAAACGGAAAGGCTTGATCTCGTTTATGTTACGAGCCAAGTTGAAATCAAACACAGGGTCTAAAATTGTATATAAATATGGAATGTGAATGCACACGGACTTGATTTTCTTGATTTTTTTTTTTTAATAACCTGTAAGGAGGCATCCTCAGATGTGAGCAGAGAGTGAGGGTTGTGGATAATGGTTTGCTTCTGTCTTCTGTATTGTGTGCATGTTCTTTCCTGGGTGTGTAGTAGTCGTGATAGGAAGTGTGAACTTTTACACAAGGTTATTGAAAACTTAGCCATTCATTTTTTTATCTCTTGCAGTTTGAAAGTATTTTAATATTCTTTGTTTTCTAATTCAGTTTTTCAGGAAAATATGTTAAATATAAAAGAGCTGAATTGCCCATAAATGAAAGCTATCAGTTGTCCTTTCAAATGCCTCCAGATCAAGAAATATATAATTTTACTTTGAATGCTCGCAATCCTCTGGGCCAGTCAAAATCAACAATTTTAGTTAACATAACTGAAAAAGGTAAGCTACTTGATAAACCAGCTTCTTAAGACAACTTGAGAAGTGGTCAAATGTCTTACAATGAATGAAAAAGCACTTCTATATATTTTTTCTTGATTACTTTTTTTTTTTTAAGATTTATTTGTGCATACAGAACTAGGGTACAGGCCAGAGGCTCAGGGGCGGTGAGAGGCTTCACCAGAGACAGAGCGGGGAGCAGAACAGGCAGATCAACGAAGTACACTGCTGAGGGGAGCAGCGGGCGGGTCAAGAGAGGTCTGCCACGCCATGGGGTCACCTCTGGAGCAGGCGGGGATCAAACTCATGCAGAAGTGGCTTTAGCTTCTCAGTGCTGTGCTTTAACCCACTGCACCACCAGGGAGGGCTTTGATTACTATTTTTATAGTTACTTCAGATTAATTTTGTGAGTTTTATTTTAAAGTAGTATATATTTTTTATTTCGCCATTGTACTGAATTTAGGGGGAAAAGTGTCAGTTACATAAAAACTGCAATTTTATTAAATAGTCTGACAAATATTTTATCAAATATTTCTGACAAATATTTTTGTTTTAATTTTTAAAAAAGCTTTATTTTGAAGTAGTTATAGACTCACACACAGGTGTTTGCAGTAGTATTAAATTCCAGCCGCAACAGTACTGTGCTATCCAGACTTGGCCGCAGGCAGCGGACCACAGACCTGCACCACTGGGTCTGTTTCCCTTTCTTCAGTTTTTACTTGCTTGCGTGTGTGTGTTTCTATTCATCCAGACCCATGTAGAGATTCACAGGCCCATCAGCACAGACACATTTGCAGGATTGTTCCATGACCTCAAAGGAACTTCTTCGTGCCCCTCTTATGCACACACACCCACACAGGCAGAGACAGTGATCTTTAGTAAATCTGGCTCTGGTCGAGGAACTCTGGCCTTGGTACAGAATGTTTGCTGTTCCTCCATGTCAGTAGTAGAAGTAAGGTTTTTGTACCCCAGACTGTGGAATGTTACACAGCACAACTGGTAGCTCTCTTGATTTTGTTTTCTTTCTTTCCCGATTGTCATATTAGAAAACAGCTTTTAAAGTAATTAATCTTTAAAATTACATTTACAGTTCATCCCCATACTCCTACTTCAGTCAGAGTGAAGGATATTAATTCAACAGCTGTCACAATTCACTGGCATCTGCCGGGCAACTTTGCAAAGATTAAACTTTTATGTCAAGTTGAAATTCTTAAAACTGATTCAGTACGAGAATTGGTGAGTAAGATTCCTCTGTCAGCTTCGTAAAGGTTATTCTGGATAAACTGTTTTCAAAAAGAATTAAATAACTTGATAGGTGTAAGTGTTTGGATTATTTATTATAGAGATTTACACGTGCCAAGACATTACATATCCATATAGTAACATTACATGTAACACACGAATAGTCTTATTACTGTACACTATGGAACACAAGTTTGACTTTTACTCCTCAGAATGTTTCCAGGTCTAGTACTGTAGCTGGTGCATAGCTGATGTTCAGTAAATTTATGAATGAATCAGTAGTTTTCACTGTAACCTTTAGCATCAGTTAATGGACTACTCGGCACCAGAGAGAAGATGTGACTTTTAAAACTGCTCAGTGCAGTCATAGGAGCAACTCATAATTGGCCATTATAGGGCAGACATGACTTTTTAATACACTTGAAATATTTAGGTTGACATTTATACTGCATCATCTCATAATGTGTGGTAAGTCCAAAATAAATGATACTGTATTTAAATATTCTTTTGGAAATTTACTGTTGATTTCTAGAAAGCTAATCAAATGCCATATTAATTCCAAAAAGCTCCTGTGTACATAATTAGGAGCTCAGCGTCTTTCTTGAGGCAAGTAAATCCTCTAATTTGTTTAAAATCATTTCATTTTAATTTAACTTACTTAGTTTAAATAAGTATTAGTTGAATGTTCCACACTTTTAGTATATACTAGAGGTTTCTAAGTGCCATATAAAAGAGATGCATAAGAGGATGCCTACTCCCAAGAAGTTTACAGAAATTACCTGAATAATATTTTTAATCTTCAAGGTGTTCTAGTAATTCTAGAGTACTTCAAGGTATTCTAGTAATACCCATTATGTTAGATATATTGCATTACCATATACCATTGACTGATCATCAAAATTTTATTATTCTTTCTGCATAATTTAATGGACGGTTATTATGTAGATGTAATAACTGGATAATAAATACCTAATTTTATTTATTGCTAATGCAAAGCATAATTTTACTGAGTTTTGCATTTATGTAAATACAGAGCTATAGTGGATGAATTGTCTCTGGTCATATAGTTGACTGATGGACAGTCAAGTTATATTACAAATTGAGGAGGTGTTTTTTAAAAAGTATATGCAGATATATATATATATGGACACATATGTATATATGTATGTGCACAAACACAACACTGACTATACATGTATATACATATTTACTTGTTTTCTTATTTTTTCATGTTTGTTTTCTAATAGCGGAATGTCACCATCAAAGGAGTAGAAAGTTCAAGTTACCTCACTGCTGTAGACAAGTTAAAACCATATACTAAATATACTTTTCGGATTCGTTGTTCCTCTGACACTTTCTGGAAATGGAGCAAATGGAGCAATGAAAAACAATATTTAACCACAGAAGCCAGTAAGTCAACTAAATGATTTATAACTAATTATTACTATAGATTGCTCACGTTTTTTAAATATCACCGAAGCATTTTAAGGTAGGAAAATGCTCAGGTAAATTGTGTAATGGTGTAATATCTACCAGTAAAATATCACAAAGCCACTTAAAGTTTTGTGATCAACTGGAAAAATACATGGCTCGTATATGAAATGACTAGGCTGCCTTCTATACAGTATGACTCCAACTATATTAACATCCAAACCATGGGAAGATTATGGGATGATTTTTCTCACATTCTTTCTGCCTGCTGGAATTTTAATAATCTAGATTGCCTTTTTATTGAAAAACAGTTTTTAACATAAGAGAATTTATTGAGATTTATATTTGCAAACTAGACCTCAGAGACAGATCAGGTAAAAGGTCTTGAACTTCAGTTCCTGCAGTATATACCTAGGTCAAAAAAGTTATAAAATCAGGTAACTGTTCTGACTTTGATAATTGCCAGAGACAGGATGATATTCTACTTTGGTTAGAAACATGTCAACTTTGGGGGCCTCCTTGATAGTACAGGGGGTTAAGTCTCAGAACTATGAATCTCTCAGCAGCCACTGCAGCATGAGTTCGATCCCCCACCAGGCAGGAGACCCGCCTGCTGTTCCCCTCAGCAGTCTATTTCAGTAGATCTGCCTGTTCTGTTCCCCACTCTGTCTCTGGTGAGTCTTCTCACCTCCTCACCCTCACCCCATACCTCTGGCTTATACCCTAGCTCTTTTCTGCATAGTAACTGTTTTTTAAAAGTCAACTTAAAAATGTAGAAATATGTGTAATATTCAGGACTCAAAAGATTCTTAAAAAGCTTTATTTGCACTACATAAGGAATATAAAACTTCTGAAAACCAACCAACCAATTAAAAAACCCATAGATGTTCATCTGGATTTTGTCTCTTCACATAAAGAATAGAGAGATGAGGGAAGCATTGCGATATGTGTAAGAATTATTTGAACCATCAAAAAGGAATCTGTGTGTGAGTTGGGAGACGGAGTGTCTGGGGGTTGAAGACACGTCTGCACGTCCCCAGGGGCACGCCGAGAGAGGGCTGGTGGAGCAGGTTTGCAGGGCACACGCTGCTCAGAGCACAGCCCTCTTGCTGTCTAGTAACAGTGAACGAGCGTGATTGATTATGTCACAATGGTGGGAGAAACGAGGTCTAGGAGAAACAAAAGGCTGTCAACTTTATGGGGCAACAGGACGTCAAAGAGGTGCAAGGGTGTCAGTTATGTAGGACACAGGGGAGGACATGTCAGCCACATGGACAGGGAGAACTTAGCAGATGCTGGGTGTAATTGTCGAGCTACTCCCAGACCGTCTTGGACCCTGACCACACAGTCAACAGTCACCTAGGTGTCCCCGGCCACCTGGTGATGTGGGCCATTGTCTCAGGGCAGTCATGCGGGAGTGCCCTTGTCCAGATCATTTACACACATACGTGCATAGAGAAGGGGCACAAGTGCAGAGGCTCCAGGTGAAGAAAGGCCCCAAGAGCAGTATATTCAGTATTCACTGCTGTGTAACAAATTGTCTCAGAATGACTTTGGGTCGGAAGTTCAGGAGCAGTTTAACTGGGTGACTCTGGCTTGGCGTCTCCCACGGTGTGGTGGATTGGGGCTGCAGTCCGATTGATGCCAGAGCATAGGGGTGGTTCACTTCTGGCTCTTGGCAGGTGGCCCGTTCTCCACGGGCTGCCAGCGTGTCTTCGTGACATGGCAACCAACTTTCCCAGACTTAATGATTGGGGAGCAGATACAGTGGATTCCGCAGTGTCCAGGGACGCACCCTCCAATCTGCCTTATCCTGTCGGTCCCCAGGAGGAGGCACACGAGGACATGGGTACCAGGGTGTGCGATCGTTGGGCAGCTGCAGCTGGCTCCCTCACTAGCTTTTGCCCTCAGCTTTTGCGCTGTTGCTGTCAAGAAGAATATTTTGTCGTCTCATGGGACGGCAGAGTTGGGGCGGCGCGGGCTAGAGGAAAGACACCCCAGAGAGACCGAGGGGGCTCACACCTCAGGGAGTCCGGCGCCTGTTTCCAGGGGCAGCCTCACATTAATTCAGAATCATGTTCAGGGAAGTACGGGAGGGATGTGTGTCTGGGAACTCACAAATGTTAGCACACGCTGGCTGGGGAGTAAACAGGGGCTCATGCCTGGGGGGCTCCATTGTTCCTGCTGGTCAAAATATCCTATCTCTAGAACATACTTACACTTCACTTTCTGTCAAGGTGGCCTTGCTGGTTATGCTCACCTGGCCACCATGCCGCCTGCTGTTTTCAGCAGACATTGGTTTTCCAGAATGTTCCTCATACCGAGACTTTTGTCCCGGTGAGAGGCCCTCTGCCTGACTCCACATTTTAGCTTGACCAATGGGAACTCTGGGTGCCAAGACAATATCCCAAGGACAAGGGTGGGCAGGGGGGCTGGAAAATCCACGATATTTTATTTAGACCTCATCAGAGTGAATGTTTTAATTCACTTAACAAATATCTATTGAGGCCCTGCCGGTGTCAGGAGTTGTTCTAGGGATAGGCACTGAAGAAAACTGTTATCTGCCCATGGGGTTTATACGACAGAGATTTAGAAAACAATATTTTAAAAATGCATAACAGTTTTCCAGGGGGTAATGGCGTGCCACAGAGAAAAGGGGGCTGAGGCCAGCAGTGGGGGAGGGGCGCAGAGTTAAATAGAGTGGCTACAAAGGACCTCACTATTAAAAATAGATGATTTGCGCTGAGCTTTAGAGGTCAGAAAGCAGACTGCATGATTTATTCAGGGGAGGAGAGATCTGGGCAGAGGAAGAAAAGGCACAGAAATGCAGACAGTCTGAGGTGTGCACTCGCAGAGGGCAGACAGATGGGGGGGAGGCCGCCGGGCCCCGGGGTGCCTTGTACCCGCCCTCGAGGCTGTGCACCTTGTAGCCCTTGAGCGCCCCATGTCCCATTGCCTGTACCCTCAGAGGAAGCCACCAGACTACTTCCCATTTTTATGAGAATTCCAAACACTGGGGAAAGTCACATTGTCCGCTGACATATGGGATGCATTTTCAAATACTAATTTTAAATCTCTTTCCTAGTTCCTTCAAAGGGACCAGATACATGGAGAGAGTGGAGTTCTGATGGGAAAAATTTAATCATCTATTGGAAGGTAAGTAATCTCGTTTTTTTCCCTTGCGAGTGTGAATGGCTTCACTGTGCTGGACTCCTGGACTTTCATGATGGTGCTTTGGCTGTCAGAGAGCCCAGAGCTTCCCTGATGGGTTTGCTTTGCGATGCTGCTGTGAACCCGGCCTGACCCCCAGCTGCCCCTGATGCTCACCACTGCCACTCGCACGGTCGCCTGAGCAAAGCTCCTGTCTCACATCTCATGTCTGAACACTCTTCATTCAGCTTCAGAGGCCTTCACAGCGCCTGAGGAGCTCACAAGTTCCTTGTCGCTCTGTCTAGTCAGACATGCAGCCAGAAGCTGAGTGGTCCAGAGTGTTTGCATTACACTTTTCCTCTGTGTGAATGGGGAGCCAACTCTCTCTATACTTCATGTGTAATTTGTTTCCCATAAATAAATTACGTTATAATATGCAGTTACAGAGGTATTCATGGTTTTGTAGACGCTTAAGATAACATGTGCATTGCGTTCGGTTCAGCACGTTTTTATACTCCGTTCTTTTCTGATTATGCACATCAGAAACACACACAGTTGCATACTTCACCATATTTTAGAAGAGCAGTGATCATCAGAGTCCTTTAATTAGTGAACTTTGTTATTGAAAGATGTGATTTTATTTTATTTTTTTAAAGATTTATTTGTGCAAACAGAACTGGGGTACAGGCCAGAGGCTCAGGGGCGGCGAGAGGCTTCACCAGAGACAGAGTGGGGAGCAGAACAGGCAGATCGATGAAGTACACTGC